ACCTCACCTTCGAGCCTTCCCATTGTACGTCGTCTGTGAAAAAGGCACGACCTCTAAGTCGTGTCCACCGGCCATGCAGTAGGTGTGTAAATTCCTGCCTGAAGATCAAAGAACTTGCGACGCATGGTTTGATATTTTGGTTATTGGTTTCCGAAACCATTGGAACCCGCTGTGGACCAAATTAATACTGCTACGGTACGTTACTCCAGTTGCCACGTCTTGGTCTGACTGAATTTCGGACAAGAATCAATGGTCATAGCAGAAATTGACTTTTACCTCGGAAACTTCATTGCTCTCAGTAGAGAAGGATGCTCGACACACCGGTCCTCATACTCAGACGATGCCATTTGAATTATGATTTATGGCTCATCTCTTACCTTTTGTCCGTAACTTAAAAATCATGCACATTCATATGACTGCTATAATTGTACTCACTCATTTTCACTGCCCACTGATCCTTTTGCGTCGGTGGCAGCTGCATCAAGATGTCTTTTCAGTAGTTTTGAGGCTTTATTAAGCGAGTAGGCTGCATAAGTTGAACTTTTAGATAACCTTGTCATGTATGGTACATATCTGAGTCGTATGGTCCGTCATTTACCCCCGGACAGTCATCAATCTGGCTTGTAAAGGCAGCCTGCCTTAGCAATTTCTCCTGCTGGATTCTGACCATCCAAAAGATTTCATTTGTAACATGGTCAGCTTTATCTTCATTCGATTTGACTTCCTACCTTGTCAGTGTACATTTAGCATTTACGGTTATGATATGAGAACCATAATATTTAATCCATCCTCTTGTTTTAGCCCGCTGGGCTGTTGTAATTGTTCTTTGTTTAGAATTAAATTTTACTTAAATTAAATTTTACTTTACTTAAATTTTATTATTTCGCTTACTTTTGCTTATACATAACTGCAGCCCTTCCACTCATCCTCCCAGCAATAGGAATGCAATGTTTGAAACGTATACTCTATGTCAACGGCCGGACGGTAAAGGATAAATTTCCCCAACAGTATTCTTACTTTGTGCCTGTTTTTCATCTTGCAGCCGGAATATAATGTTGATATGCGCCACCGAAGCAAGAACCGCTTCATGCTTGAAAACTGCCGTTTTGAGC